CAGTGATTTTCAAGCTTAAATTTTACGATTCGACTTGCTAGTTGGGAAGCTTTGAGATTCTGGGTGTATTATTATATTCCTAAATCTGATATCCAAAAAATGATACTGTTTCCTGTGTTCTTTTTTTTTAAAATTCATTTTCATTTCGGACAGTTTATGCTCAAAATATTTAAATAGAAAGGGTAAAAGGGGCTATGGAGGCCCAACCAAGAAGTGATCATTTCAAACAGGAACGTAGAAATAAACTCTGATTATACTTTTGTCAACAAATTTCTGGCTTATATACTTCCAAACTTTCGTTGTTAAATCTTGCATGCATTAGAAGTACGTACATGCTCGGTCTCCATCGATGGTATTTTGTCACTTTGCATTGAGCTGTCCAGCGGCTCAACATATTCTTGCCAGAATAGTTCCTCTAAAAAATACATATTCATTAACTAGCCCATGATTTCGCTGACTTCTAAAAAAACTGAAAATTTCCACCAAAACAGAACTTTTTACAAAAAAGATGTTGGGATGACTCAAAAATCGGTCTAACTCGAAAATCGAAGAACCAAATTTTAGTTCATACCGACGAGATTCCACATCGGAGTAGAAAAAATTTAACGGTAAGAATTTTAAGTTAAACTCAAAAAAAAAACCTCTCCTTTGTTTATCTCAGAAAAGCAAAGGCAATCGGAAGTAGCCCGAGTGGTAGCCAAAAACCATCCGTTAGCGGGACTGCCGCTGGCAACTTCTTTTGAGGAAGTTATTTAAAATTAAGGTGATGCAGCTTCAACCCCTCTCCTTCCCCTCCTTTTCCGCCCCTCTCCCGGCACTTCCCCGGTGTGCCTCAATACCAGTTTCCCACTGAAACGAATGAACGAATCGTAGAGGGACTGGTTGCTCGACCTTTATCACATAGCAGCGATACTTACCACTGTACCCTATACTCCACGTGAAGAGCAAATATCTGGCCAGCGACCAACTGCTGGCGCAAAAATGCGTTTTTTCCAGTTCTTTGCAGGTTTTCTTCGCTAACAATGCTGTTTTTTTTCCTGCAGATGCTTCTAGCTAAAAAAAACTGAGACTAGCCACAAGGACTGTTAGAAAACATTCCCCTAAAATTTCAGCTTTCTAGCTTTTCTGGTTCTCGAGTTAACATATTACTCATCAAAAACTTTCACGGTCCCGTACGCGGGAGTCACGTGGAAAAGAGCGTCCATTATGGGGATATGGGCCTGTACATGCGTGTAGATTAAGTTGCCAAAGTTTCAGCCTTGTAGCTTTTCTGGGTCTCGCGACAAAAAATCGGCACAGACACGCATACAGACGCACATACAGACACACACGCACACATGCTCACACACTACCTCTCGTCAATATGTGTTTTCTGCATTGCAT